ATTGCCTGTCGTCCCCTGTGAGCCGCCTGGCAATTTACAAAAGGGTAGCAAGTGTTCCAAGCCGCGTCCCCTCTTCTGATTATTTATTGTACCGTAGGCGTGCATAACGGGTTGGTGTGGTGAGAGACGTAGGCAAGCCCACCCACTACAGAATAAGCAGCAGGGGGCGTGGCATAACACACCCACCCAGTATACAAAACCCCTCCTACATCGTTTGACACCGACTCTGTCCTGCGCCACCTCGTTTCAATAACCGATCCCAGTGCGAAATGAATTTTAAGCGATATCGAATCGATATCAGAACGATATCGTTTTCAAGTTTCTGACTCCGAACTGATTCAAAAATGGGCCCGAAATCGACACTTTTCTGATGTCCGATATAGTTCTGATGTCAATTTGATATCCGCATTTCTCACTGGGATATCGGCAAGGGGACATCGTGCGCTTGCCCATTGTCGCAAAATTTTTAAATTTACTTATTGACCCTTTGATGGGACTCGTCAAGTTCCATTGTGACGCCAATGTATAAGACTCCATCCACCCTCTAGTGAGAATGGATATCGAAGCGATATCGTTTCGATATCCCGTTTCTCATTGTGGGGTCGATTAGCCACCGGCTCGCCAACCCACCTGGCACATGAGGGGACCGCCAGAGTCGCCGAGGCAAGCGTCGCGGCCTCCGCGGTCGAAGCCCGCGCAGAACATGTTGTCCGTGACGCGGTACAGGGGCAGGAACAGCGTGCGCCGCCGGCACTCGGCTGTCGAGATGGTCGGCAACTGGACCTCCTGAAGCGTGTCGGCTGCATAAAAGGACATCAGTAATAATTGTTGATTCAGACGTAAATATGATGGCATTCTAACCATCCTGCGAGATTTTTTTGGACGGGGGACGGGAGGGAGGGGGGAAGGGAGATTTCCCACTGGTTGTACTCACGGAACACGCGCCCAACTTCAAACAGCTGACCCCAGCCCACGACTGTGCACATGGTGCCGTCCTTCAGGATAGCCGTCGGCGGGGGCAAGCAGATTGGCCGAATGTAGTCGCTGAACGAAACCTGTGCAGCAAACGTAAAACATCACTCTAATGCGTAGGGGAGTTGTACATACTTTATAAAACAGGGCACAATAAAATAAAAAATAACAATTTAAAGTGAAAAATTAAAAACTTCCGTTGGGAAGTTACCAAAAAAATATCACTAACTTGAAAAATTTCACCAAACTTATATTATTTTGATTTAAAAAAACTATCCCTGTATTGAGCCGGACACTGACCAGGTCACGCATCCGCAGCAGGGAGATGTCGTTGATGAAGCCCGCGTCCACGTAGCCCGGGTGCAGCACGATGGCAGCCAGCGGCCTCAGCTGCTCGTAGGGCGAGGCCAGGTCTGTGCCGCGCCGCAGCGCGCCCAGCCGCGCCACCCAGAAGTCGTCCAGCGCACTGCCAGAGCCATGTCATTAGCCAAAAAAGTCATAGGGTGTGTAAAAATCTGCTGATGGACCCGCCTGAACCCGAACTGCATTAGATTGGAGGCTAAATAATCCACGACACCAGTAACCCCCAGAACCCTTTTTCAATCAATAATAAAAAAAAATAAAAAATGAGAAAATGAAAAATTCCTTGTGCTTCAGCAGCGCAGGACAGCCTCGAGCTCGAGCCTCTGCTGCATCTGCTGTGCCTCGAAGCAGAGCCACAGCCTTAATTGA